TCTCATATTTCCTGATTTCATATGTAGGTTCGTAACACTACATGCCAAATATAGAAATCTTCTATTATAAAATCGCGAATGAGTTCGATGGCCATCAGTCAGTCAGTGTTACCAACGTCCGATAAGTAAAAAACGAGGTAAAAAATTAGTGTCACAAAGAGCTTCTTTTCGAAACTACTTTTAGTGTCGAAAAGACTTCGATATGACACCAAAATAGAAAAAATATAATTTAGTAAACGTCAATAGTTTGTTTCTCTCTTTTGCGAATAGACCCCCTCCACAATTTTATAAGTAGCCGCTCAAGGAAATAAACACCATCAATATACCGCTCGCCATTTACCATCTAACTAATCAAAAAGAGTACTTGGGCGCGTTTTGCTACAGTAACATTTTTGAAAATCTACAAACCACCTACCACAGGGCCTAAGAAACGCCAATTCTGTGTGCGTTTTTCGGAGGAAACTGAAGACTATACTGGCTGCCTACCCCTTTTATTCATGGCGAGAGCCAGGAGGTGTTGTTGTATTATTGCGCATCTGTTTTCGTATTTTTTGTACTTTGTTTTTTTATGTGGATGTATTTTCGCTGGATAGGACTGGATATGCTATCGATATTGATGTTGATGTTTAGTGCTAATATTATAATTGTATTGCTTACTTTTACTTTTACGCCTTTACTTTTGGAATTTTTATTTGTGACAATTCCAAAACCTGTGTAATGTCTAGGGAAATAAACTATAAAAATATGTGCTCCGAGTTTAAAACGTATTTTAATTTCTTACAAACTGCAATTTTTTTTTTTTTTTTTTTTTTTTTTTACGGATATGCGCACTCGCAAGGAAATGTCCTATCACGCTCGAGAAGCGGCAAGTGCGCGGAAATGTCGGTGTATGTTGGTCTTGAAACGGTTCAGGTTGTAACCTGCAGGGAAAACCGTCGCAGGGAGTTTATTCCACAGCGATGCTGTTCTCCAGAGATATGAATTCTGATATAATGAGGTTCTTGGTGCCTCTAGTTTGACAGTAAATTCATGGTTACCGTCTGTTTGACGGGTTCGCCTGGTAGGTGCTACTCTCGGTGGAATCATACGTGCCAACTCTTCAGAGCATTTTCCGTGATAGTACCTGTAGAAGAGAGATAAATCGCCCACAGATCTGCGATGTTCGAGACCATCCAAGTTACGAGTAAGTGCGGGGTCATTGATCAGCTTGATAGCTCGTTTTTGCACGGTATTCAAAAGCATTAAGGTATGTTTGGGTGCTGCACTCCATATATATGAGCAGTACTCCATAGTTGGTCGAATCTGGGCTTTGTAGAGTGTCAGCAATTGGCTTGGTGTGTACAGATGTCTTGTACGAAATAGCACTCCCAGCTTTTGGGAGGCCCTTTCAGCAATATCTGCCACGTGACTGTGCCAAGACATGTTGGTCTCTGCAGTAACCCCCAAGATGTTCAACTGACTCTGTAATGTGACAGCACTTCCAGATAGCATGATGTTTGGCTCACCGGTGCTGGTCTTTTTTGAAAACAGAGCTGCTTGGGTTTTCAGCGCGTTGAACTGTACAAGGTTTTTGTTACCCCAGTCCTCTATTATCTCCAGGTCGTTATTTATCTGCGATATTTGAGTTAGTCTAAGATGGTGGAATTCACGTGCGGAAAGACCTGTGGGTGGTATGAGTGAGGAGACTACATTGCCATCGTCTGCAAAGCAATAAAGTGGATTTACTGTTTTATCTATGAGGTCATTTATGTAAATCAGGAAAAGAGTTGGCGAAAGGATTGCTCCCTGTGGCACACCAGCATTTATTTGGTAAGAGTTGGAGTTCTGGCCATCCAGTGCAACATAAATGGATCTGTCCTTTAGGTAACTTTCAAACCAAGTGCAAAGTTTCGGCGATAATCCCATTGCTTTGAGCTTGTTGAGCAGATTTTCATGCCAAACTTTGTCGAATGCTTTAGATATATCTAAGGCAATTGTTCTTGTTTCACCCCGCAACTCAATCGCTTTTTGCCATAAGTGAGTGACGTATGTAAGTAAATCGCCAGTTGACCTATATTTTCGAAATCCGTATTGCTTATCGTTGATAATTTTGTACTTTTCCAAGTACTTGGTTAGGTGATTGTTCACAACTCTTTCCATTACTTTTGATATCACCGGAAGTAGAGCAATTGGTCTATAGTTTAACGGATCTGTCTTTTTTCCTTTCTTTGGAATGGGTTGTACTGCGGCAGACTTCCATGATGATGGATATACTCCTTGCCTGTAAGACAAATTGAATAATTTTGCGAAAGTTGGGGTGAGTTCGTTGGCGCAATTTTTGAGTACTATTGCGGGAATGCCATCCGGACCCATTGCTTTGTTTGTATCCAGCTTTTTTAGGGATTTTCGTATTTCTCTGTGACAAAAGGGTACCTCTGGCATACTATGGGAAACCCTTTCAATGAACGGTGGAGTTTTTCCGTTTGGCACTGTTAGGTTGGAGTTGGAGGAAAACATTTGGGCAAGCATATTGGCTTTTTCCTCTGATGTTGTGGCTAAGTGATTATTTTTATCTGTAAGTGGTGGTATGGATGACTTGGTGAAGTTAGATCCAACAGCTTTTGCAAGAGACCAAAAGGACCTAGAACTACTTGGACAATTCAGCAACCTGTTTTTTATTCTTTGATTGTATGTTTCTTTAGCGGAGTCAATAGTAATTTTGCAACTATTTCTGGCTTCTATAAATTCTGTGTGGTTTTGAGCGGTTTGTTGTCGTTTCCAAAGGTTATATGCTCTGTGTTTTTTCTGTACAGCCGTTTGACACTGGCTGTTGAACCAAGGTTTTGCATTAGCTCTACGTTTAGTTGTATGTGGGATATATGCGTCCATTCCAGATAAGATTACTTGTGTTATTTCATTACAGCAAATAGTGGGATCAGCTGTTTTAAAGCAAACCTCTTGCCATGGAAAATCCAGGTAATACTGTTTTAGGTCATTCCATTTTGCCGATTTATAGTGCCACATTTTACGAGGAAGTGGTTGTAGGCTTGGTGGGATGAGCATTTCGCACTTTGTTATTATAAGTTTATGATCGGACGAACCAAGTGGAGCATCTACTTGAATTGTGTACGAGTCAGGATTGGTGGTTAGGAACAAGTCTAAAAGCGCTGCAAATTCGCCCCTTTCTGAGATACGGGTAGGTTCATCGACAAGCTGCGTTAGGCCACAACTTATGGCAAAAGCTTCTGCTTCTCTGCCTTCGTTATCTGTTTTGTTGTGGTGTTTCAGCCAGGGTATATTGTGGACGTTGAAATCGCCTAAAAAGACAATTTCCGCCTGTGGATAGTTCGACTGTATACTATCACAGCTTTCGGATAATGTCGCGAAAAAGTTTTGGTAATCGGTGTTACTTGGCGGTCGGTAGAGGCAGCAGATAAACTTGGTCGATGACTTTGAGGTGAATTTTAGCCATATGATATCAAGGTTCGCTGGTTCTAGCTTGTCCTCTCGATGACATGAAAGGTCATTTTTAATGTACACACAGATCCCAAAATTATGTCGAAATCGGTGGTGTAGGTCATAGCCGGGATAAAGATAGTTCACAATAGGTGTTGCAGAACTGATTTTAGTTTCAGTGAGAACAAGGATGTCAGGTCTTTGTTCATCAAGATGTTGGTGAACTGAATTCATATTTGTACTTATTCCTCTTATATTGCTAAAATCAATTCTGAGTTGAGTTTTTGATCTTCTCTTTATATCTTTGCATGAAGGACCCCCAGGATCACCCGACGCCCGGAGATCCGAGTGGTCGGGTATTTTACCTCCGGAATATTTTGATCCTGGAGGCGCCATCATGCTATGCCAATAATTTCGACTTCATTGATGACCTGCAACCATTATTTTAATAATTTCACCATATTTGTATTATTCTTGACACGGCACATATATATACGGTAATAGATTATTAGAGTTTGCTACAGGTGTTAAAAATAGCACTTTTCACACGCATTGGGCAGTTTATGGTGGCACGAGCCGCAGGCGAATGGAACAAATCACATACATTGCTGCATTTCTAGCAAACAAGGAAATTATTCAATCATATCTGTAAACAGCTCAAGTAAGTATGTATATCCAAAGACTAAATAGTAAGGTAGCCATAAACTAAAAGAGGAAAAAATAATTTTCCTACGACCACATATGAAAATGACAAAATCCGTACTAGTTGGTTCTTTGGAAAGCGCTAAATATCACACGCGTGCCGAAAGTACTTTCAATATGCGTGCTAAAAGTACTTTCAGCACACGTGTGGAAAATGCTGTTGACATTATTTGTGATTGACATTGACAATTTACTTAAATACGTAGGAAAAATGCTGTAAATCACTTGTGAGAAAGCGTCTTTCATATACTCGTGTGTAATTTGTCACTTTCTACACTCGTAATGTAATATACTATTTCATAATTGGCAGTGAAAGTGTCATTTCTACGATTACCCTAGAAAGCTACCTACCTATTGAAAACGCACTGCTTGCTTACATAGAAAATCAATTCATCATTCGAACAGCGTGTGAAAAGTAGGTACTGTTCTTTCACACTCGTGTGGTATGTGCCACTCGCATACGGCCCGTGCAATGAAACTTCGACCTACTAGACTAGGGCCGATACGATGATGGCAATGATGATGGTTATATATATCGATATGACAAATTTGTATCGATATGCATCCTCAATAATTGAAGGTGTATCGATGTATCGTATCGATAAGCCCTCCTCTATTATCGATTGCAAAGTAGCAAATATAACCACACTTTTGTTTGTCGCGAAGGGAGAAGAGAGTGGAGACTGGAGTAGATAGTCGCCTCAGTAGCTTCCCCAAATAATGTGTATTTGTAATTTGTAATTTGTATTGTCTTTATTCAAAACTCACAATTCATTAATTCTAGCAATGTGAGTGTGAATTAAACAATTTGTTAATTATTAACACAGTGTTATTCAAATTTTTCCAATCAATTCTCCATCAAAATGCTGATTTTCAAACCAGGCTGGGTCAATCATGAAGGTAAGAAACCTATTAACATAATTAATTTTAAAACAAAGTATCGAATTCTTCCAGACAGTAAACCAATTTTCTCTGTGGACATGCACCCCAATGGCAACCGGTTTGCTACCGGTGGCCAAGGGGGTTCTGGAGGTAGAATAGTTGTTTGGAATGTTAGTCCGGTGATAAACGAGATTGAGGAAGATGATCCAAAAATTCCCAAAATGCTTTGTCAGATGGACAATCACTTAGGTAAGAATTTCATTCATCAAGACTTTAGACCACAAAAAACTGATATTCATTGAATATAGCAATTATAATATTGTTTGTTCTCTAGCATGTGTCAATATAGTAAGATGGAGCAATAATGGTCACTTACTAGCCTCAGGCAGTGACGATAAACTCGTAATGATTTGGAGGTTAACTAGTGAGGGAAGCTCTTCAATTTTTGGTAGTAATAAAGTCAACGTAGAAACTTGGAAATGTATACACACTTTGAACTCACACAATGGAGATGTTTTGGATTTAGCCTGGGCACCACACGATGGATGGTAGATTAACAATCTTTTATTCAAATAAAATTCACTGATAATAATTTTCTAATACCATAGGCTAGCTTCAGGCAGCGTAGATAACACAGTCATTATTTGGAACTCTCACAAATTCCCTGAAAAAGTTGCAGTATTAAAAAACCACACAGGTTTTGTCAAAGTTAGTAACACAGTAATTTATTAATTCAATAATACTTAATGACAATTCTAGGGTGTCACATGGGATCCAGTAGGCAAATATCTAGCCAGTCAATCAGACGACAAATCCCTAAGGATATGGAGGACCTCGGATTGGAATCAGCAAGAAGTAGTCTTGGATCCTTTCCAAGACTGCTCAGCTACTACTCATGTTTTAAGGTGCTCGTGGTCTCCTGATGGCCAGTACCTCGTATCAGCGCATGCAATGAATGGTGGAGGTCCTACAGCACAAATTATTGAAAGGGAAGGCTGGAAACAAGACAAGGATTTTGTGGGACATAGAAAAGCTGTAACTTGTGTTGTAAGTTGAATATATTATGCAATAACACAAAAAATCAACTATTTTTTCTAGAGATTTAACTCAAATATTTTCAAAAAACAATCTCCAGAAAGCCCCAAAAAAAGTACTCAGTTTTGTTGTTGTGCCATTGGCTCAAGAGATCGTTCTATAAGTGTTTGGTTGACATCACTAAAACGCCCTCTAGTTGTAGTAAAAGAAGTTTTCGATGATAGTGTTCTGGATGTGGCATGGAGTAGTCGGGGTGATTTTTTGTTAGCTTGCTCTTGGGATGGCAGTGTGGCTTGTATAATGTTTCAAGGTAATGAAATTGGAGCCCCTTTGAGTGTAGATGAGAAAAACGTGCTCTATGAAAGAGTGTACCATAAATCCTTACAGAGTAGTTGGACGTTAAACGCTTCTAGCTCGCAAATTGTTGAGGATCCAGAAATTTTGCTTGCCTTAGATGAAATTAATCAGAAAACTGAAAATATTCAAGTAGAACTGCCTGAGATTAAGGAACCACCCAAAGCGAAGGATGTTTGTTATGAAAGTCCTAAATTAAAACAAAGTATTCTGATTCCTGTTAATAAACAAGTTGAAACTAGATTGGCATCTGGAAAAAGAAGGATAACGCCAATGTTGCTCACGACAGTTCCTAATACTTCATCACTTTCCAATGATTGTCTCATTAGTTCAGATTCTACACAATTTTTCTCACAGTCTGATACCTTTAGTAAATCATCACCTAGTAAAAGTTTAATTATTGTTGAAAAACGAACAGAAATGCAAGCAAAGAAAAATGAGGTGCCGCCAAAGGAACCCAGCCAACCTGTGATGTGAGCTCAAACTTTCATAGACAATAATATTGTTTTTATTTTTTCAAATTGCTTTCAGAAATAATTTTCAAAAATCGGACACTGTGATCTCCAAAGCGCCTGGCAACGAAATAAGTCAATTGATGTGTGTCGAAGTACCCGGCGACGAACCGATAACTAAAATAATCAACATTTTGGAACCTTTAAAATTAAATGCCGCCCCTACAGTCATTAAAGATGCTGGATTATTGCAGATTCAGGTATTTATTTTGTTATTTTTCAGTCTGAAGTCTGCAGAGATAAATACTATATAAACTGTCGAGAATGGAATCTCAGTGTAAGTTTTGTTGTCAACAAAATTGAGCCAAGCCAGCGCCGTCTACCACATCGGAAAATCACTATTTACTGGTATTGCATCCATGCTAGAGACACCTACTTTACATAGAACTTTTTGTGATAGATGGCGCCCCGTTCGCATTACTGTCGGTCTGTTCAAATTCGTTTATTCTAAACTTTGGGGCATTAATGTTTGCTTAAATTTATTGATAATTTGTTAATTAGATCAAAAGACAGTTCCTTTATCGATGGTTAAGGGATCCTTAACATATTTATTCAAAGTTCTGATTGATGTTTAATTGAACCTGTCATTTATCTAATCAACAAAGATAAAAATAGATCTTCCAATCTATAAAGTTTGAAGAAGAACTCTTGAAACACACAAAACACTTAAGAACACTTCTTGACAACACAAAGAAAGATGAAATGCAAGACCGGCAAACGAAAAACATTATGAATTATTAAGCCGGGCTCAAACGACTCGTGTACTTGACGAATAATCGTTACTTGCGTATACTTGCCATGTCGTGTGAGTGGGTTACTTATACAATTATTTGTCACTCGTTGGTTTTCCATTTCTTGTCGGTAAAAATGTCCCGAGTCAAAGGGATCACGATTATTCGTACACTTGCCAAGTTCATACTTGTCTATACTTGTAGAGGCGCTCAAACGAAATGCACAAATAATTGGCTTTTACTGCGACTATTTCATTTAGTTTTCGACGAGCATCATGGTTTAGCCAAATGTTCGCGCTCGCGTACTTGTAAATTGAACACGTCGTGTGAGCGCCCTGCTTGCCATCACAATTCGCAAAGCTCGTATACTTGCCAAGTACGCAAATAATTGTGTATTCGCCAAGTAGACGAGTCGTCTGAGCCCGGCTTTAGTTATGATCAAATGAATATTTTAGCATATTGTCATATGTTGACATGTCAGTTATCGACATCGGACGTGTTCTTGATGTGCTGGTATTTTCCAATTTTGACAATTCTGTGGTTGTTAGCGACATCTAGAAAAACGGAAAAGAGTTATTATGTGGTTTATAACTGGCAATGAGAGATCGCAGGGCCTGGAAGTCTGTGTCAAAATTAAAATGTAAAAGTCAAAATGACATTATGTTGATACAGGCATGGTCTAATTGTTATATATAGGGTGTTCATTTGTACTGCTTTTCTTGCAGCAGATTGGCGTTCGCTTGTCCAGTATATAAGCTCATAAATAGCAGCTCTAGCAGATTTTTCGAGCAGGTAGAGCAATTACAAATGAACACCCTCATTTTTCAATAACTATACATTGCTTTATACCATTGAGGTAGCTTTATACCAATATTTCCCCTAAACTTTTGACTTAATATTTAATTTTGAGACACACTGTACGACTTCTGTAAAATCCTCCCACTTGTATTTTGATCCTTATTTAACTTTATAAATAAAAGGAGGATAAATACACCTCCAAAAAATTACCAAATGAAGTCATCTTAAAATAACATTCAAGAAATACTGAAATTTAAAGTTGATCTGTAGATACAGTGCAGGCATTATTCTATAACTTTCAAAGAGGTTTATCCCATTTTTAGGTAAGTAACAACTTCCATAAAATAGCAAGCAACTCCTCATTATCCAGGATAGCAGTTTGCCAAGTTACTGGAAAAAAAGAACCTCTATGGGAAACATTCCTTGGTAAGTCCATGTCCTACCAAAAAAAAAAAAAAATTACCACTTACCAATTACTTCTACTCAAGGTGCTGCCATAAGAACAATAGCCTCAAACAGACAATTCGTAATAGGCTGCTGTGAGGATCTCACAATAAACATATACGATATTAAAACGGGTGCCCGATCACTGCCCCCTCTCCTAATAGAAGACCTTGTCAGTTGCTTAAGCCTATCACAAAGCGGATTCTTATTGGTTCTCACTAAAACTGGCTTGATGTACTTGTGGAACTTACCTAAGACCAAATGTGTTTTAAGTAGAACATCTGTAAGGAGCTTGCTAATTGGCAAGTCCACAGTAAGTGGCTGTTCTTTGACTACATCAAACCAACCAATATTAACTTTGAATGATGGCAGAGCTTACTCATATAGTTTAGACTTACAAACATGGTAAATTTTTTGTGCAAATATATAAATATTTTAATTTTACAAAAAAAAAAACTATTTCCAGGGTTCAATTGTCAAATCCTCTAGACCCAGTAAGCAGATCAGCTGTATCAATGGTGAAAAGAGTGCCAAGTAATTTGCCTCTAGCCTCTCTACAGCGCACAATGCCTCAATACCGTCCGACTGATTCGATACTGCCCTCTGGTGTTACACTGAGTTTCCTGGAGTCCCAAATTACTGCCACCAATGTTTTGAACAGTGCTGCTGAGTACAGACATTGGTTGTTTGCTCAAGTCAATCATTTACTGGATAAAGGTAAGAAGTTACTTGTTCAATAATTTTTGTTTATTAGCATTAATTATTTAGGTCCTGAATGTCGATTGAAGCAGATCCTGGATAACTTACTTGGGCCTATGCATGGCAGCGTCAAGAAAATAAGACTGGATAATGATATTTTGGTAATTAGTTTTGTTTAGGAAGGTTTTTTATAAGTGTAATTTTTAATATGGTTTTAGGGTCTTTCCCGGCGAAAACTCCTCCTAGAAATCTTGAACATTATCAGAACAAAGCTGCCGTGGCAGAGACTTTATAAGGAGTATAGTGAGCAATTGAAAGACATTGGAGAAACCTTGTGAATTTTTTTCAAAAAAATACTTTTTGGTAATATTGTATAATAAAACAACTTTTTGGAATAAATGCCATTATTCTACTATTTGGATTTTCGATTATTTATTAGGATTCTTGATTTGAAGCTACGATTTTTCAAATAGGTTTAGTGACATGTTTGATGAGCTCCAAGAACGACAGCAAAGATCAAGCAATGTCATGATTTTTAATCTTTCGGTGGGTGATAATGACCAAATATTGGTGCAACAGTTGGTTTCATTACTTGGGGGAGATCAGGTCAAAATTGTTGGTGCTATTCGATTGGGGAGGAAGAACAGAAATGGCATGAGGTCAATAAAGGTAACTCTGCCGCACTCCAAGGATGTTTACAGAGTTTTTTAGGTGGTAGGTCTAAATTGATGGGTCATAAGATCTATACCAGTGCTGATTTGACACCTAGGCAAAGGGAGACTGAGAAGGAAGTGAGGAAAAAACTTATAAGACGTACAGAAGCAGGTGAGACTGACCTTATCCTATAATATTTCCAAGGTACTCCTTCCATTATTACCAAAAAAAAAACTAGATACATCACCCAAAAATTTTATAGTATATTATCAAAATGTCCGAGAGAACAAAAACCAATCGATTATTTTTCAGCCTTCATAGAAATAGTTGATATTATCGTTGAATAGACAAACCACTACACTACGCTACCCAACTAGTGACTCAGAACCAAAAAAAGTCACCAACTAGGCGCGTTGCGATAAATGGGAACCAACTACTAGGAAAGAAATTCTTCGTTTTATTGGTTTATTGGGGTAGGTATATGATGGGCATTGTTAGGATGAACTCTCTAAGAGACTACTGGTCAAAAAAATGGATATTTTCCAATAACGTAGCTAAGAATATTATGAGCCGCAACAGGTTTGAATTATTGTTGAAAATGTTGCACTTCTCCGACAACGACTTGTGTCCTGAAGGGGATCGTCTATACAAAGTGCAAAGAAAAAGAATCTGTGGTAGCTAATAATCTATCAGTTTCAACAAATATTGTCTTGAAGTTAGCTGATAATCTCCTGGGTTGCGGGAGAATTTGTATCACAGATAATTGGTACTCAAGCTTACAGCTTGCCTTTATGCTTTTGGATCAACAAACCCAGTGCCTGGGCACTTTGCGGGCTAATCGAAAAAGTAACCCAAGCAATGTTACAAAGAAAAAACTAGCAAAGTGCGGGATAGTAGCCGAAGAAAACGAAAGAGGCATATATATGTGTGCTGAAATGGCGCGATAAAAGAGACTTTCTACGTCTACGTCTTGTCTATACATGTCACATCGACGAAACTGATGAAGTAGAAAGAAACGGTAAAACGATAGAAAAAAAACCAAAAGCTATGATAGATTATAACACTGGCAATAGTTCTATCGATGTGTCAGATCAGATGTCGAGCTACAGCACTGTCAGCACTGCCTTGAGACAAACTATACGTTGGTACAAGAAATTGGCGAATGAAACCATTCTGAGCACTTCCATGGTAAATGCTCACTTTATTTTCAAAGAAGTTGAAGACACAACAATATTTATAACATATTTCCGCATTTCTGTCATAGAAGACTTGCTAAAATTTGAGACACAACAAGAAGATCCCAGGCCATTGAAAAGTATAAGTTCTCATAAATAGTGAGGTAGAAGGAACGGTTATAAGGTAATGTAGACGGTACTGTAAAGGATATGCTACAAAAAAAGCAGGATGGTGTAATAGAGAAAAACAAAGTAAAGAAGGTAACAACGTAACAACATTCTGCGAAAACTGTGAAGGTAAACCACGGTACTGCTTAGAAATGCTTCAATATATCTCACAAAAAATAGATTTTCAGAAAAAAAAACTATTTATTTACGACTGACATATAATGTAAGTATGTGATTTTGGCAGTATAATGCCATATATTATTCCCGCGGGGATTAATGGTCATTATTCCCGCGCACCAATCACAAAATTTCTCAAATTAAATAGGTAGTACCATGGAAACAATATACCTGAACAAACTCAAAAGTGTCAGTATCAAAAGCGTAGTGGTGTATTTGTATTGAGATGGATGAACAAAAAGCGTTTTTGGAAAAAAATTTCAAATAAATTAATTTTTCGTGAATAAAGTAGAGTATACTACTCGCAATAATGGCTATTATTCCCTCGGAATGTTACTCCCTCGCCGCTAACGCGGCTCAGTTCTTAAATATTCCTCGGGAATAATACCTATCATTATTGACTCGTGGTATAATTTACTATTAGAGCAATTTTTTTTGGCAAAAAATGCCCCATTTAATGTATTATTTTTTTTTGCTTCCTGTTTCCTGTTAGTGATACGCTATTCCGCATATTTATCTAAATAAAGTTGTTCAAATATAATATAGTCAGTGCTTTATTCACTTACATTGAATTTATTGCTATGGCATAAAAACTAAAACCGCCATCAATTGCCTGGGGCCAATGTACAAACCTACTGGGCCACAGCGGACACCCCATCACATAAAATTTCATATTAGTGTTACCGCTCGGCCTCGCTGGCTGGTGTAAATATAGATAGTGCGGCCACAGCTTGCGGCGGTCACCCGTGCTCGCCATGGCTCAGGCAAAAAAGGGCCAGGCGGTCACCGGTGACCGCTATGGCGCTCAACCTGTTAAGAGAGTAAACAACTTTGTGGAGAGTGCTATGAAACTTTTGTTCGCGAAACAGAAAATAATATTACTCATGACCCCAGGTCATTTTGGAGATTTATTGATGCTAAACGTAAGACTAATGTTATTCCTTATGAGATGTTTCATAATGGAATGTGTGATAGTGGCGCTGATATAGCCAATCTCTTCGCTGAATTTTTTGCATCCACGTACTGTGATAATAACTGTGATTTTGCTAGCCAATGTTCAACTAATAATATTAATGTACTTATCAAGGGTTGATCTTGAAATCTCGGAGGCTTATACCAAGTTGACCACATTGAATTGCGGTAAGGGTCCTGGGCCGGATAGAATACCCCCTAGTTCACTTAGAAATTGTAGTTTTGTTCTTGCTAGACCCCTATTTCTAATTTTCAATATCTCAACGAATACCGGCTACTTACCATTCTGTTGAAAAGCCAGTTTTATAGTTCCTATTCATAAATCTGACCACAGATCAGAAGTAAAAAACTACAGACCTGTTGGTGGTTTGATCATGGATTAACAGTTTGTCACACATGACACGTGGGCACATTACTTTTCAACTTATTCATTAACGATATTCAGAATTGCTTTAAATTTTCGAGATTCCTCTTATTTGCTGATGATCTTAAGATATTTCTTAGAGTTGGCTCCCATCATGATTGTGAACTCATTCAGTCAGATTTGAACAATCTCGTGAGATGGGGTGAGCAGAATGGCATGGTGCTCAACACCTCCAAGTGTCATTTGATGTAATTTTCCAGGTCTCGCGTGTACACTATTAAAATTATCCGATGGATCAAGAGCCACAGAAAATCAAAATTTGAACTATTACCGGCTCTTGATTCTTTGGAAAACTTTCCTAGAGCCATTCAAGAGTCGGTAATAGTCAAAATTTAAACTTTTATCAACTATGGATTCCCTAGAGAATTTTTTTAAGGGCATTCAAAGCTCAAGAGCCGTAATAGAAATTTCGAATGATCATTAGCAGCTATTAAATTGACATTAATCAAAATTTCTTCTTTCGCAATTAGCTCAAGAAAAATTATCCAATGGATCAAGAGCCATAGATAATCAAAATTTGAACTATAATAATATGGATAGTAAGACAGCAAGTCGTGATTCAGTTTTAAGACAAATTAATCTTGATTTTAGTTAAACAAAGTTTGTTGTAATAGTGTTAGTTTCGTCGTGATAATTATTATATAAAGATTGATTTTGGAAGAGAAATCGCATCTATCTAATAACAAACCCACTTTACGTAATAGTACAGACTATAGAATTAAGTCTAAAAGTCAAAAAATGATTTATTAAGCCCTCCGGCAAGTTAGAATATATGAATTTATTAAGCTACTGATTTTGATCCCAAGCCAAAGCAAAGCAATGTATCGAAAAACCTATAATTAACAAGAAGGTAAAAATATCTGCAGGCCTGGAGCTGGAGAGAACCAAGTACTTTATCGACTTTTTCTCCTAAGCAAACGCACAATTTTAAAATTCAACACCCAAATTGCCCCAAATTAGGCGTTATGGGTGCTCTTTTGTCCCCTCAAGGCACAGGAGAGTGTGAAGTAGGTGCTACCTTTTGCCCAGTGACTAAGAAAGACAAGAACCGGAGTTACTCTGCTTCGTTACAGTGACAACATTCCAACGACTTTGAAAATGCACCAGGATCGTACCAGGAATTTGGTATTCACTTGTTGAAGATTGAAGAAAACTGATATTTTGCATTTTGAACAAAATTTTGACGGTACGGAGTTTGTAATGCCTATATTAGGTATTTATTTTTAAAAAAAGCTGAAGCTTTGGTACAATTGTTCAATTTTGTACCAGTACCTATAGGTATAGGTACCTACTAATTGGCTAAATTAATTAGTACGACTTGGAAAAGCACTAAATTTTAAATGCTGTTTCTTCATAGCACTAAATTCTATTTTACCAATAAGTTATAGAATTGTTTCAAATCCGGTCCATTGAAATGGAATGTCTATAAGCTACCGTTCACCTGAGCAAAGAAGCAAGATCTTCGAGGTGCGTTCCGGAGACAAGCAGCCCCGTTTCTTCCTTTGATCCGACTCTACTCAAGACATACGTCTTTACCGATCGCCGATAAAATAAATAAGACGCATACAAAAAAGTATCGAGAATTCGATACTTATAGAAAGAAGAAATACTTAAGTAACAAAGCCTTCTTCATTTGATTTCTGCGGAATTTGTATGTTGAACCGCGCCGAGCCGACTTTGCCAAGTGGTGGCATTAATAAATTCACCGGCGGACGGATGTTATCGTATTCTTCCTGTTGGAACGGAGCGCGTTTACCAATGAAGAACATCATCAATAGTGACGGTCTGCGATCAGTTGCGTTATTGCGGAAAAACCGCGAGGAAAATGGGCAGATTGGGCAGTAAAAGTGAAGAAAACGCAGCCACGGCACCGCCAACCGTGCACCATTACAACGTACGCTATACGAAGCTGAAGGACGACGATTATTGTGAAAGTCCTGAACAAGTTATGCCAGGTTTCGAGGGCTACATATCGTTCAGTTGCAGACAGTGCGGACATTTGCAATTGTTTCAGGTAAGAACTTTTACTGCTACCGCTGGTTCTTATATTTAGGTCATATATACATAGGTACATTCGTTATTGAAAGAAATTCCTCAAGATTTTATATTTGTGAAATTGGCAAAATCAGTATTTTTATTTGAACACTCTGTATCTTTGGGGAAAATAATGTTCATAAAAACCTAATTTCTTTCTTCTACTTTTGATCTTATTACATTTAAACTATCCCCAAATCATTTATGTCCTAAATCATTTCAAATTCCATACAACATTCTTTTGTGTCTTTAATCTTCTTAAAGCGGATTTAATCACCCTGTAGGTGTAGGTCCTTGACTCTTTCCTGAAGACCTACAAGGTGTGTATCAGTGTTTTATCCCTGGCAGAATTGTTTTGGATTTGTATTCGTTTTTTTTTAACGCCCTCAGACAGATTGATTAGCGATTATTTTGATGTTTTGTTCTATAGACATTACCAAAATTTGCCTTTTTGTTGGGAAAAAGTTTCTACTTCCTGTTCGTACTACAGGGTGACGCAGAGAAAATGCATGTTTTTCATATTTCACTAAATTTACGTAAGCATTTATTTTTTATGTCTTCAGAAACATGTGCGTTTCCTCTACGCCACCCTGTATAATCTAGTCATACTTTGAAGGGCTCTTCAGGAATTGGATGTTTTCAATCAAAAAGTAGACTAAGTAAAAATTCAAGATTTTGAGGATCTTTTATGAGGGCCTGAAGGTAGAACTTACTGAAAATAAGAAGACTGATCTATCAATATTTAGTATCATTTCTGACTTGAAATGTCTCACGAGTCTTCATGCCTTCGATCTTCACTTCTTGAGCCAGATCTTCTAATTTCTTAAAAAGATCCCTTGAGAATTTTTTTATTTAATTATTTTACTTTCCAGCATCTGTAAAAAGTCCTTTTTTAACGTTGCTAGTACTAGCAGTAGGTACCTATACGGTCTAGAGAAGCTCTTTTTATTTAGATATCACTGGATCAGTGGCTTTTTCCATAGGGTCTTCTGAAGCTATTGGGCCTAAAAGTGGATAAGGGTTTATGTACCAAAATGAGATTCAAAGACATCTTCAAAATGTCAAAAAGACGCTTGTTTTCAGGTAGTTGGGTTTTGTAATATATACGACGTCTTTAAGATAAGAACACGTAAGCAGACGCCTAAAAAACGTCTTGAATATCGTTTGTGGACATCTTAGGGTCGTTTTTAAGATGTCTACAAAACCTTTCCTCAAAATTCGTTTCTCCGTTTGATTTAAAAGTTGCTGGAAACCATTTGAAATGCTACAGAATACTTTAGAACTTGAATAAGCCCTTTGGAAAGTTCAAAACACTTAAAATTCAAATCAGAATTTCTAAAAGCATTCTGTAGCGCTTCAGGATAATTTGGAAACTTCAGAACCATTTTAGAATGCTCCAAAACATCTGATTTACAATTTCCAAAAGTATTTTAGAACAATTGAGAAGTTTGAAACCCATTTTAGGACTCTCCAAAATACTTAAACACTCTATAGAATCTTCAGAAACATTTTGAAAAGCGCCAGGATCTTAGGATTCAGGTTAAAAGTTACAAAACGAAAACGCCTTTCAGAAAGCTTTCACGAGCGAATTTAAATTGCTGTAGAACTTTAAACCTTTATAATATGCATCCAAATCAGAAATTTCAGGATCATTTTGGAACAATTCAGAAACTTCAGAGTTATTTAAGAACAATTAGGAAACCTTTTAGAACTCTTTTGAACCAATTTAGAACACTTTGGAGCTTCAATAGGGCTCTAAAATACTTCAAAACCTGTCAGAACAATTTAGAAATTATTTAAAAATTTCTAGAATGGTTTAGAACTCTTCAAGCCAAGTTAGAACACTTTAGAGTTTAAACCTTCAATAAAGCCATTAAGAACGATTTCAAAACACGCTCTTATAGCATTTCTGAAAGACATTGGGGTTTGTAACATACGACGTCCCAAAAGATGTCCTTAAAATATCGTATGGACGTGTTTGAGGTTTCTGTGCTGTCTGATGGATCAAGAAGTTCCCCTTTCTTAATTTAATCCTCATGAGTTATTCTTCTGGTCTGGTGTTGTATTGGTTTTTGAATACCTATCCATTAAAAAAAATTCAATCAAAACGCAGCCCAGAAAAATTCGTTTCCCAAAAAATGTTAACGTTAGGTATTATTTTTATATCTGTGTAAGCAGTCACATAATACATTATATTAAATTGTCCTGATTAGGCACTAAGACACCCTATATCATGATACCTGAATATTGTTTGTTTACGTTAACAAAAACGCAAACACATGCCGGAGATATAAACTGAATAACTCGCACCAGATGCAAACGACAAAATGCCTCAGTTATATCGGGACTTTTACAGGTAGCTTTGCTTGTAAAATATACGGTTTTAAATTTGCGCCATTACAAAGTAGCACAATTTACAGTTCAAATTTTTCGTTTTACAGGGTGCAGAACTAGAAATGATCCTCGGCAAATCCTTAAAAATGGCCTTTAGGTCCAACAAGAAGGACCAGCAACAACAACAGACAGGTTTTGAACAACAAAAGGTAAATTGAATATTTATTTAGTAAATTTTGTACCTACATCATAATAACCATTCACAGAACAACATCCCTATGACTTCTTCACGGTACCAAGAAACCCCAGACGATTCCGCCATAGGTATTCCAGTAGTACCGCCAGGTCCTGCTCGATATACTCTGAGCAGTGACGAGAGTAACTCACCAACTCAACTGAACCAATTCAAACGCATAGTAGAAAAACCATCTTTGATGAAACGAATAGGCAAGGGGTTTGTTCTAACAGGAAGCGACGAAGAAGGTTATCCTTTGGTCAGCGATGGCAGTTCTAGCATACCTGGTAAGAATTAATCAAAATCAGTTTTAAAATATTAAACAAAATCATTTAGGAAGTCAAAGTAATATTTCGTTGTTCAACAATGACCAAGCAAGTGGCGAGGCTCCTACATTGAAACTAGGCGACTTCAAAATTCCAAAACAACTAAACTTCAGCGATCAATACGCCGAAAGCGAAACATCGACTGAGGAAATTGAACTCAGAAGTCAAGCTCACAGAAGAGAGGCTAATTTGAGGATGGCGCCTTGGTACCAAGAAGGCATCCCAAGGGAAATCGCCTTGGAAATATTATCGCAAGAACCTATAGGGTCGTTCATGGTGCGAAAAAGTACCACCAAAGCTGGATGTTTTGCTTTGAGTGTTCGAGTACCGCGCAGCTTTCAACCTAGAGGAATTGCCCATTATCTTATAATGAGAAGCTCCAAAGGATATAAAATAAAAGTAAGAATTTTTTAATGTTTTGTTCATTGTTTTATTATTTTTTTTGTAGGGCTTCACTAAAGACTTTCCTACATTAGCCTCCTTAATAGCCCATCACTCGGTTATGCCAGAACTGCTTCCGTGTCCTTTGTCTTTGAGCAGGTACCATCCTGTCTGTGTTATTTCGGATTGTAGAAGGGAATTTGCTGATATAGAACCGGAACCTGATGATTGAGGTGTTTGATTAATCAAATGAAAGACTAATAATTAATAATCTTAGAATAAGTCGCTTTTACGTTTGTGGCTGTGGAACAAAATTGCCTTAATTGATAGAAATTTAAACCTAAGACGTTTTACTAGTCTAAAGAGTATTTTGTAAAATTGGATCAAAAAATAGGTTTTTAATCGTAACTATAGTTTTAATTTAGTTTGTAATATTTATGCAATAGTAATTCGTGTATTCTGTATTTGTTTATTTATTATATTTTTTTTTTTTTGGTTTTTAAATTTATTGGTTGTTTTATTTTAGTAATGATTCGCTTGGTGCAATCAGCGCCTACCCTAATTCTCCCATATTCGCCCCTTTTGTGGTGTCTGTTAATTTTCTCTTTGAACATGGGTTGAGAAAAATTGCACAGTATGAATTTAATAATTTGGGCGGGAATTGTATAATAATATATCAAAGATAGGGGCAGTTTGAGAGATGATGTCACTTATGTGTGAGAGAATAAGGTCCTATGAAACGCTCCCACAGTTTTATTTGAAAGTTTACTTTAAAAGCTCAATCAATGAACTATACTTATACTAACTTAAGAAGTACCTATCTAATGAGTATCTAATGTAACATTGTGTCAGGTATAAAAATTTTCGAGTAAAATCGTCGGATTAGGAAAATAATTCAAAAATTCTGTGGCCTAACCTCAAATATCATCAAGCCAAAAAATGTAGAGAAATTACTCGTAATGGAAGAACAGCAAAAAAATGAGCAATTGCAATCCCAACTAGATAGAATGGAGCGAAAGTTTAGCTCAAATTCAAGTGCTGGGAGCTAGCACCAATAACACAACAACAGTGACCAATGTACCACCCCCAGAGAAGTTCTCTTTTGTGCCAGTGCAATGGAATGCGTGGTTAGTGAATTATGAACGATACCGAAATGTCTCCTACTCAATATGGGACCTGAAGTTAACCAACTTTTGGATAGCACCAGTCCAACTAACGTACAGAAGTAGTAATATAAAACAATTCTTCAATGATTCCTTTATTAAGAAAGTGAATGTTATTTTTGAAAGAGCCAAGTTCAATAAAAGACTGCAACAAGAGGGCGAAACAGCTCAAGAATTTATTTCTTCCATTATAGCCCTAAGCAAGACCTGCAATTATGGCACTATATCCGAAGAGCTTATAAGAGATAATAGCTTATTGTTGGCATTTTAGACCAAAAGTTATCCGAAAGCTTACAGTTAGACAGTAGCTTAACACTTGAATCGGCTAAAGCAAAAATTGTCCAAAGTGAACAAATTAAATGGGAAAATAAAGCTCTACAGAATAATTCCCTCTCAGTAAGTAGAATTTCTACTCAGAAAAGGCCTAAATCACGAAACGTGGGCAATCAATCAACGAAAACTAAACCACAATGTGGTCGATGCGGTAAAAAACCAAGACATAGGTTGAAAGAATGCCCTGCATCAAATGAACGCTGTCAAAAATGCTCAATGAAAGGTCACTACAGTAAAATGTCTGAAACGCAGAGACAAACTACTAGCAAATTCAAGCATGTTAATGAAGTTGACGACTCCTCCGACTCATCCGAAGACTCTGAAGTTGGCGAAATAGTCGGAGAAATACAGTGTGGCTCGAATACTGCATGCATGGAAAACAGCACTAAAAGTTCCTGAGGAACAAATATCTTTCAAGATTGACACAGGTGCTGATGTAGCAGTTTTGAGTAAGACATCGTATGATAAGCTAAAAGAAAAACCAACACTGAAATGTACTAAAGAAAAATTGGATCCAGGAGGATGTTCATTAAATGTGATTGGAAAATGTATACTCCAGATCAGTTATAAGGGTGAAAATAATAAAATCAAGGTATATGTCATGGTAAATCATCAAAATTTACTTGGCAGACCTGCAATACAGGACCTGAACTTGCTAAAACGGATTAATAGCATCAATACCAAGAAAACTGTGAGTAGGTACTGAAAAACTATGTTTGAGAAAAATTACAAAATATTTCCCAGAACTTTTCAACAGAATTGGGAAATTAAAAGACTATAAATACAAGATAAAAATGACAGAAAACTGTGTGCCATACTCAATTTCAGCACCCAGAAGAGTAGCACTTCCATTAATAGATAAAGTTGAAAGAGAGCTACAGAAAATGGTAGATCAAGAGATAATTGAGCAGGTGGATTACAATAATCCTACTCCATAGTGTGCACCAATGGTTTGTGTCCCCAAAATAAATGATCAAGTTAGAATATGTGCTGACTTCACTGAGCTCAATAAATTTGTTTCAAGAGAAAAACTTATTTTACCAACAGTGGATTCTACACTAGCACAAAAGTATTTTCAAAATTAGATTGTGTGTCAAGCTTTTGGCAACTTCCATTATCAGAAGGTTCGAAGCACTACACTGCCTTTTTAACACCTTTTGGAAGGTACATTTACAAGAGAATTCCTTTTGGAAATACTTCAGCTCCAGAAATTTTTCAAAGAACAATGAATAGACTTTTCAATAACCATGAAGGGGTATTAGTACACATTGATGATATTACAGTTTTTGGAGAAAATGTTGCACAGCATGATAAAAGGTTAAAAAGAGTGCTTAAAGTGTTACGATACAATGGACTTACCTCAAACGAGTCGAAATGTCAGATAGGCATTTCGGAAGTGAAATTACTTGGACACATTATCGGACAATCGGGTATAACAATGGACAGTGAAAATATAAAGGCTATATTAGACTTTGAAGAACCCAAAACAGTGACAAATGTGAAGCAGTTTCTTGGTATGATAAATCATCTCACCAAATTTCTTAAAAATATTGCAGCTATGAAAAAAACCTCTACGCGAAATTTTAAAACGTAACAATACTTTTCCGTTTGATGATATCCATCGACAGTGTTCTAATAAATTAAAAATACTTGTCACACAGGTGCACCAGTTTTGAAGGCTTATGATATTACTAAAGAAACAAGAATTCTCGCAGACTCGAGTTCTTTCGGAGTTGGTGGCTGTTTAGAACAATTACAGCCAGATGGGAGATGGGCTCCTGTTATTTATTGTTCAAAAAGTCTAAGTGAAACACAACAACGCTATGCCCAAATTGAAAAGGAAGCATATGCTATTGTATGGGTATGTGAAAGACTGGAAGAGTACCAGTTACCAGTTTTGAGTATCCTAAAGAAGAAATCTATAAATGATTTGACTGTAAGATTGCAACGATTTGGACTTAGATTAACTAGATTTACATTTGAGATTGAACATGTCGCTGGAAAGGATTCTATGTAGGTACCAGATACGTTATCAAGACAGCCACTGAAACAGATAGATGTATTGGAAGAAGAAGTTGAATGCTATGTGAATGTTATAAGGAAAGAAACTGAAGAAAACTTGAAGTTAACACACCAAATGGTTGAAAAAGCACAGCAAGAAGAATTTCAAAAACTTAGTGAATATCTGATGCAGGGATGGCCAGGAAAAGCATCACAAGTAACTGAGACATGTCAAAAATATTTCAAGTATCGTAATGAAATTATATATATTATGGCAGTTTGTTTAATTACAAAGACAGGCTTATAATTCCTTCATCTATGAACAGAGAAACTTTAAATCAAATTCATATTGGACATCAAGGCATAAATGCTTGCAAATCTAGAGACAAACATACTGTATGGTGGCTCAATATCAATAATTATATCATAGAAACAGTACAAAATTGCCATGAATGTTTGAAGAATCAGAATCAAGTAACAAATCCTATGACACTTCGAAAATTGCCAAACTTACCATTTCAGCATGTATCATGCATGTATCAGCAGATTTATTCCAGTACAGAAATCAAGTGTACCTTGTCATACAGGATGTTTATTCAAAATATCCAGAAGTTATTACACTAAAGAAAACTAAAAGTAAAGACATTATTGAAAAATTGAGAGAAATATTTGGGCGTTATGGAATTCCAGAGATATTATACTCAGATGGTGGACCACAATTTGATAGTTACAGTTTCAGGAAGTTTGTAAAAACTTACAACTTCAACGACATAAAAAGTAGCCCCAGGTTTCCACAAAGTAATTGTTCAGCAGAGAGAGCTGTACAGTTAGTGAAAAAACTGTTAAGAAAGTGTGAAAATCCTTATTTGGGAATATTAGCATACCGCAATACACCACTTTCATGTGGAAGCTCTCCTTCAAAACTACTATTTGAAAGAAAACTTAGAGACTTTACCTACTACAAAGAAAAACCTTGAACCATAACTGGTTGACCATGAAAAAGTTAGGAAGAAGCAGGAGAGAGGAACAAGAAGAAGCAAAGAAAAATTAGGACTGTAGACATAAGTCAAAAATTTTACCAAAATTGAATGACAATGACATAGTTTACATGAAAAATGTGAAATGTAATGGAAACATTGTAAGAAAATGCCGAGAACTAAATTCATTTATGGTCCATGCAGACCGAAAATGTTGTTCTAAGGAGAAACAGAAAATTTTTGGTAAAACTACCTGAAATCAAGGAATAGTATATTGTGTATTTAGGTAGAAAAGTGACACAGAATGTGCTTTTCCATCGAAATGCACATACTATTTTTTCTGCGATCGGTTAAATATCTGTTAAATGTTTGTCTTTTTGTTCCGATTATTCAGCAGTACGAGAATCACTTTCCCGGCCTAGGTCGGAAAAGTGAATCTGGTATTGTTATTCATTGATTCCTTAGCAACTATTGAAACATAATTAATATACCAGAAAATTGAGTTTTTCGACCTGTCAACCGGTCAAAAATGCTGATATTTCTTGTCAATCGCAGAAAAAAGGATTTAAACATTGAGAAGAGAGAGAAAAGCGGAAATTCAACAGCGATACAAGGATATGTAGAACCTGATGAAGGAAGACAAAGACGAGAAAAACGAAGACCAAAAAGATTTGATGATTTTGTTATGTAAAATTTGTTTAGTTTACTTTAATTCGAACTTCTTTGTTAGTATTGTTAAGTTGACATTCAAAGTTCTAATTGTTTATAATGTTATATTAAACTCCGTGAATCTTCCTTTGGTAATGTACTGCCTATATATTTTGAAATATTTTTTTCAAAATTAAAAGTCCAGGACATGTATAATAATATGTCAAAGATAGGGGGAGTTTGAGAGGTGATGTTGCTTGTGTGAGAAAATAAAGGTCGTATGAAATGCTCCCACAGTTTTATTTGAAAGTTTACTTTAAAATCTCAATCAATGAACTAAACTTATACTAATTTAAGTATCTAATGTAACAGACTTTGGATGAATTGAATAATTTCGCCAGTAGGTATATTTGTTGTTCTAATCTAATTATTTGGCCTTAAGTATTGCTAGTTTCTTCGTGATTTTTACGTTGTTGCGTTTCTCGTTGAGTTCTGGAAAATTTCTAACAATGTGACAATGACGGAATATACTCTAGAAAGGAATTAGCAAAATGGCTTAAGGAGAACTTAGTACATTTGACAAAGCTGCCACAAAAATAATTCCAATTCCATAAAATTTACAGTTTTATAGCTGCATAAAAGTAAAAATAATCAAAATATGTAATTAAAATTAGAATTAGTTCATGACTATATAAAGGATTTATATGTATACAAAACTATAAAAATAAGATGGGAAAAATATTTTGTTTCCAAAATAAGCTCGCAAACAGAAAAACAAAAAAGATTTCGTACTTTTCCTCCACAAACAGATAATAAATAAACTTTCATGTAAACAAAATTATTGTTGTTAATGAAGTCAAATAAGGCCACGGAATTATTTGTCATTGTTTCTTTACATGAACATGAAAAGCGCACCACCGACAAAGACGGACATCTAAATTTAAATTTTAACATCGGTTACTTGCTGATATTGTTGGAGTGTAGGTACTTTCAAATTTGTACCAGTATTAGTACGACTTGACTGATTGTTTATCTACAATAAAATTAAGGATAGCTGCAAATTCAGTACAAAACACGTCTGCCTAGTACAGTTGAAAATCAACAAGGCGACAATGATATTGACCTTAGATTTGATTGTTTTTAATAACTTTGATGCTTTTACTCATCATACGATCCTGCTGTAGAAAGTCGCGGCATTGGAACGATTTGAATTTTTTTTGTTATTTATTGTTTTAAGTGCTCATTACTATGGCTTGTACTAATGGAAATGGTAAGTACAAATTACTTAGTACAAATTCAAATTCATATACATAAGTAATCAATGGTTTCTTTAAAATTCTTCCAGTTAGCAACAGAAAGACATTTTAAAAAAAATATATAATACTTCAGATAAGATAACTATAATACTATCTCGGTTGACACCAATAATTGATGCCCAATTTATTTTTTAAAGGTCCTGGATATGCTTCTCCGCTGGATGCAATGAAAAACGGCCCAAAAGAAAAACTTTTGTACGTAATCGGTGTCCAGCCGGACCACTTAAACGGCAAAAGTGACCTTTTGGCAACAGTGGACGTTGATCCAGAATCTCCCACATATTGCCAAGTAAATTAAGCTAAGTCTGTTTTATTCCAGAAATTAAAATCGGCTCGATTCCAGATTATTCATAGATTAAGAACGGGACGTCCAGACGATGAACTCCATCACAGCGGTTGGAACATTTGTTCCAGTTGTCATGGAAAACAAGAGTGCTCTAAACGCGATAAACTTATTTTGCCAGGCTTATTATCCAATAGGGTGTTTATTGTAGATACTGGAAAGACTCCTAGAAGTCCTTTTATGCACAAGGTATCCACATCAGCATGATATTTTAAACAGTATATTTATTTTGTTTTAAAAAAGGTAATTGAAGCTTCGGAAATCAACAATCTGGATTGTACCGCTTTGCATACAAGTCATTGCCTGGCTAATGGAGACATTATGATTTCATGTATGGGTGATTTGAAAGGGAACCCAAAAAGTGACTATGTCCTTATTGACTCAAAAACCTTTAAAGTTAAAGGTATTTTTCTGTGAAATTCTTGAGTTCAAATTATAAAAAATCTTTCAAGGTACTTGGGTGCAAGGTAAAGCAGCAAAATTCAACTATGACTTTTGGTACCAACCCTACCACGACATAATGGTATCAACTGAATGGGGTGCCCCGAAAATATGGAAAAGGGGCTACCATCCAGACGACATCACAACTCCAGACGCCTATGGGCGAAACTTAAATTTCTATTCTTGGAGCAAAAGGGAACTAATCCAGACAATTGGTTAGCAATATACGCAATAGAAGATTATTTATGTGAATTGTGGTATTTTTCCAGATTTGGGTCCCGATGGAATTGCGCCATTAGAAGTGCGATTTTTGCACAATCCGAAAGAAAGTCAAGGGTATGTTGGCACCGCGGTGGGATCTTCGATTTTCAGGTTTTACAAAAAAGACGACGGTACTTGGGCTGCAGACCGAGTCATCAAAGTACCATCGAAAAAAGTATCTGGATGGGCTGAAGGAGATTATATGGGAGGTAATATTTTTTTTTACAAGCAGCATCTTTGTTTGCGGATCATATTTGGAATCAGTTGGAAACTAAATCGTTTTGATTTACCGTGGATCCAGTTCAGGATTTTATTGGGTATGTCTCGAACTTATGGTTCTAATTAGGAAAGAACACGAGCCTGGAACCAGGAAAAAATAATATGAATTGTCAATTTTTGTCTATCCAGGCGTTAGGCTCTCTGAAAACACTCTGAGGTTTTTAAATTGTTCTAACCTTTCAAAATGCTACTGGAAAGTGTTTTTGGAACGTTCTAAATGGCTTACTAAAGTTCTACAGTGTTATAACTTGCATTGGAGAGTTCTGGAGCATTTTAGAAGTTTTTCAGTAATTTAAAATTGTTCTGATGGATTTTTAACTATTTTAGAGCCCTATTGAAGCTCCAAAGTGTTCTAAATTGGTTCAAAACAGTTCTAGAAGGTTTCCAGTTCTAAATTGAATTCTTTAATATAATTGTTCTGAACTAACCTGAAGTTTCTAAATTGTTCCAAAATGCTCCTAAAACCACTTAAACTGTTTTGGATATTTATTAAAGGTTTCAAGTTCTACAGTAATTCAAATTCGCTCATGAACGCCTTTTGAAAGGCATTTGGTAACTTAACTTTTAACCGGAATCCTGAGATTCTGGTGCTTTCAAAAATGTTTCTGGAGTTTCTAGAGTGTTTGAGTGTTTTGGAGCTTGGACTGCTTGGGAGCGTTCTAAAGTGGGTTTCAAACTTCCGAATTGTTATAATATGCTTTCGGAAATAGTAAATCGGATGTTTTGAAGCATTCTAAAATGTTTCTGAAGTTTCCAAATTGTTTTGTAGCACTAGAGAATGCTTTTGGAAATTCCTAATTAAATTTTAACAGCTGTACACAACATCCTCTTTCAACTTAAAAGCGCTTTTTATAACTGGTACCTTTAACCAGAACACACATTTTTAAAAGTGACCAGTTTTAAAAAGCGCTTTTAAGTTAAAAGAGGATGCTGCATACAGCTGTAAGTGTTTTGAACTCTCCAAAAGGCTTATTAAAGTTCTAAAATGTTCTGTAGCATTTTAAATGATTTCGAGTAACTTCTAAATTGAATGAGAACCGAATTCTGTGGAAAGTTTTTATAGGCATCTTAAAAACGTCTTTAAGATGTCCACAAACGACACTTTTCAGACGTTTTCTTACGTCTTCAAGGCATCTTAATAAAGACGTCGTATGTTACAAAACCAAACGTCTTTCAAAAGTCTGCCTGAAACGTCTTTATGACATTTCTCCAAGACAATTCACGACATTTTATGGACGTTCTCTGGTCTTCAGACGTTCAGACGCACTATAGACCTAAAAAAGACGTCTTTATAACACTTTGTATGCTCTTTGAGAAGTAATCAGATATATAAAGGGGTTGGTCAATAAGTACTTCGTACTTAAATGGGTTACTCATGGACAGTGTTCCTGGGTAGGTACCCATATGCAGTCTTGCCAGATCGTAAAAAATTTCTCCAACTCAGAGGAACCAAAATTCATCTTAATTTGCTCAATTTTTATCCAGTTTATATATTTCTAACAATAAAATTTCTCGTAGGTTTAATAAGTGATATTCTGATATCCCTGGACGATAAATTTCTGTATTTCTCCAATTGGTTGCAAGGCGACATAAGACAGTACGACATCACAGATAGAGCCAACCCCAAATTGACTGGCCAAGTGTTTTTGGGCGGGAAAATCCTCAGTGATTCCGATGTCAAAGTACTGGAAGACCCTGAACTGACGGAACCACCCAAACCGGTCTACATTAAAGGAAAAAGGTTCTACGGAGGCCCTCAAATGTTGCAGCTCTCTTTGGACGGTAAACGATTGTACGCCAGTAGCAGTCTTTTTTCGTGTTGGGACAAGCAGTTCTATCCGGAATCCATCAAAGAAGGCGGCAGGATTGTTAAGCTGGATATTGACGTTGTTAACGGAGGCATGAAGTTGGATGAAAATTTTTTGGTTGATTTTTCTGAAGGAGTTGATGGACCTATTTTGCCGCACGAGATGAGATATCCTGGCGGAGACTGTACTTCTGATATTTGGCTAGCCGAAGAAAACTAATACATACCTACACTATTTTTATTTTATTTTTCTGTATAAAATCTACCTACTTATAATAAAGATAATTATCTGTTTCTTACCTAAATAGATGGCGCTCAAGCCAAATGTGGTACGGTGGACTTTTTCCGAGCGGAAATCTGTAATTTTTGTGACTTGTAGATTGTGTGCCTACATATAGATGGCACTGCATATCAAATAGTGATAAGAACTCACATAAGTGCCCTCTTGCGGTTGCTAAAATGAAACAAAACAAAATCATTGCCTCTCGTTTCGTATGAATCAATAGCGATGGGTAACTTTTCCCAGGAAGTATGTACTAAGTTTTGTACAATTTATTCTACTTAAGAAAAGTTCTAGACTGGTTATTTTGGAACATCCAGTTCGTTAGTTCGTTCATTTAATATCGACATTAAAATGAACAAATATGTAGAAATATAAGACAATATAGATCGCTTAGCAACTCTTCTTACTTGAAACTACATTATCTATAACAGTTTGGGCACAGCGTTTGGGTTTAAGTATCGTACAATACCGCGTACGATCGTACAATGCACCAACTCATTTTTTAAAAAATATCCGGCTCGAAGGACCAATTCAATTTTCATTAGTTTAGTTGTCGTGCGTCGTTGCCGCAGGAGACGCTGGCGTCGGCGTCCAATCGAATCATTAGTTTTACGTGTAGGATTATAAAATTGTCATTTTCGGGCTTAAATTTTGTGAAGTTTGTTTTTTTTTTTTGATTTTGCGTTCTTCAAGTTTTGTGATTTTGATTCTTTTGTTCGAGGATTAGAAACTGTTTTGCTCTGTGGGAACTGTCATAGAAAAGTTGCTTTTGAAAAAGGTTTGTATTTCTTTATCGGAAAATCAATAGTCTAGCCCAGGAGGAAACTAGATTATGCGGGTTTTTGTCTATTTTCTAAGTGTTTTTGGATTTGTTAGAGCTTCAAATTATGTAGATCTTTGAGTCAAATATAGATATTTTCATTTATTTTAAGATTATTCTTTACTTCTCAGCTCTATTAAAATTGAACTCTTATACGTACTTATCTCGAGCAAAGAATATATTTTTCACAAAATGATATTATCCAAAAGTTACTATGCATATTGTCATTGCCCAAATGGTTCCTCTATGGTGGATTTTGCACTTCACTCGTGAAAAATACTATACAACTAAGTACCTATATTATTCATTCCACTAAAATTGATTGTATGAGTAAATTTTCATTTCTGCATCAATTTTTGTATCCCTTTCGTCCACAGTAGTTTCCCAGGCTTGCGCGATTTTTCCATTATTCTAAATCCGCGGTTTTTAGACTCTTATTATATCAAGGACCCAGTTTCTTCATAGAAGATTAAACGAAAGTTGAAGGAGATTAGTTAAAAATTCTTTCTTACCCATGTAACATTAATTTTCATCCAAGGAGTTATGTTAAATTATTTAAAGCCTCATTAACTTCTCTTAAGAAAATTCCTTTGAAAAGAACTCTTTAAAATAACAATGTATAAATCCAAGAAAAGACTTTAATCCATCTTTTGTTAAGTACCTCAACCATTAACCCTTTATTGTTATAATTTCGAAAACGCATCAGCACAAAAGCTTTTTAAATGCAAACAAATCACATTTTGTACAAAAGAGCTTCTTCAAATATAAGTACCTAATAACGATAATTTTTGCATTGCATGATAAATTTTTATCGTTCAGGTCTAAGAGCGGTACTAGTGAATGGTTGAAAGAATTATGGCTGGTAATTAAAACTTGCTGTACACACAAACACGCTGTTATGTAAAGTGATGCCTTGTTGGAATAACAAATGACCACGTGCCGTTTTAAGACAGTCTCGAGACAAAATTAACATTTACTTTGTATATGGATCATTTGTTTTGAGATTTTGAGCAAATTACGCTGGTGTATGCTCGGTAAAGCTGGGAATTTTGCTCAAAAGAAGATCGACAGCAAATGTTAGTTTTGATGAGTTGCGGAATATCAAAAACAAAACACCAAAAACAACTAGAATTAAAGTAAGTTCTTCTTATCTGAAGCCTCTTTCTTTTATCTAAGTATATCGCAAATTAATATGAAGCCTGAATTTTCCTTTGAAAAAGATCAGTTTAGTCAAGACTGTAAAACAAAGAAAGCCAGAAGTACAGATGTCTACAGTTCTCTTAGAAGAAGATCAGAAACAATTTTTAGTTCTTAAATATGCTGGATATCAAAAACAAACCTGAAAAGGGGGGAGATCAGAGAATTAGATATTTCTGTACTGGGTTCATCTGACTCTGAACTTTAGTTCGAGATGCCCTAAGAGAAAGCCAGAAGTCTGATCTGGATGAGTCTTAAATTTTTGCCATGGTATAATTGAAGCCTTAAATTTCAGGCATTGAAAATCAGTTACAAATTTAAGAACCCAAAGTTGCATCGGGATTTCACGAACGAACCTAAGAGGGATCTAGAACTTCCATTAAGAAGTCTCTTCTGAGGCCTAGATTTTTCTCAAAACAAAACCAGTAGCAAGTGTTTGTTGGGTGTCAAAAGTTGGAAAAAATCACGTTAAATCGTCTTTGAAAAATCCTGGGAAATACTTCGGAGTATCATATCGATTTCAAACTTTCAGGATTTATTAACCAGGATGTTTTCATCGAACAAGGCAAATTTTAAGCCAATCTGAAGCTCAGAGATAAAATTATGAGGTTTTTTTGCAACTCTATACCAGAAAAAGTTGGAAAATTCACATTAAATCACCTTTGTTTGAAAAATACTAAATACTTCAAAGTATCAGATCAATTTCAAACTTCCAGGATTCATTTACCAGGATGTTTTCAATATACAAAACAAATTTGAAGTCAATCTGAAGCTCTGAAATGAAATTAAGAGGTTTTTTTCCAACTTAATATCAAAAAAAATTGGAAAATTCACGTTAAATCACCTTTGAAAAATCTTGAAAAATACTCCGGAGTATCAGATCAATTTCAAAGTTTCGGGATTTATTACCCAGGATGTTTTCATCATACATGGCAAATTTGAAGGCAATCTAATCTCAGAAATAAAATTATGAGGTTTTTTTCCAACTTATTACCAGAAAAAGTTGGAAAATTAACGTTGAATCACCTTTAAAAAATCTTGAAAAATACTTCGGAGTATCAGATCGAATTCAAACTTTTAGGATTTATTAATCAGGATATTTTCATCATACAAGGCAAATTTGAAGTCAATCAGAAGCTCAAAAATAAAATTATGAGGTTTTTCTCCAATTTAATACCAGAAAAAGTTGGAAAATTCATGTTGAATCACCTTTGAAAAATCTTGCAAAGTACTTCGGAGTATCAGATCGAATTCAAACTTTCAGGATTTATTAACCAGGATGTTTTCATCACACAAGGCAAATTTGAAGTCAATCTGAAGCTAAGAAATAAAATTATGAGTTTTTTTTCCAATTTAATACCAGAAAAAGTTGGAAAAATCATGTTAATTCATCTTTGAAAAAACCTGTAAAATACTTCGAAGTATGAGACAATTTCAAACTTCCAGGATTTATTTACCAGGATGTTTTCAATATACAAGGCAAATTTGAAGTCAATCTGAAGCTCTGAAATGAAATTAAGAGGTTTTTTTCCAACTTAATATCAAAAAAAATTGGAAAATTCACGTTAAATCACCTTTGAAAAATCTTGAAAAATACTCCGGAGTATCAGATCAATTTCAAAGTTTCGGGATTTATTACCCAGGATGTTTTCATCATACATGGCAAATTTGAAGGCAATCTAATCTCAGAAATAAAATTATGAGGTTTTTTTCCAACTTATTACCAGAAAAAGTTGGAAAATTAACGTTGAATCACCTTTAAAAAATCTTGAAAAATACTTCGGAGTATCAGATCGAATTCAAACTTTTAGGATTTATTAACCAGGATATTTTCATCATACAAGGCAAATTTGGAGTCAATCTGAAGCTCAGAAATAAAATTATGAGGTTTTTCTCCAATTTAATACCAATAAAAGTTGGAAAATTCATGTTGAATCACCTTTGAAAAATCTTGCAAAATACTTCGGAGTATCAGATCGAATTCAAACTTTCAGGATTTATTAACCGGGATGTTTTCATCATACAAGGCAAATTTGAAGTCAATCTGAAGCTCAGAAGTAAAATTATGAGTTTTTTTTCCAATTTAATACCAGAAAAAGTTGGAAAAATCATGTTAAATCATCTTGGAAAAATCCTGTGAAATACTTCGAAGTATCAGATCAATTTCAAACTTCCAGGATTCATTTACTAGGATGTTTTCAATATACAAGGCAAATTTGAAGTCAATCTGAAGCTCTGAAATAAAATTATGAGGTTTTTTTCCAACTTAATATCAAAAAAAGTTGGAAAATTCACGTTAAATCACCTTTGAAAAATCTTGAAAAATACTTCGGAGTATCAGATCGATTTCAAACTTTCAGGATTTATTGACCGGGATGTTTTCAATGAACAAGGCAAATTTGGATCATAGGTAAATTTCAATTTACAGTGTGTTTGATAAATTGCAGATTTCAGACAAGAAGTTTCGCGTTCTAGATTTTGGAGTCACTTCAGGAATAATAGGAACTTTGAAAAACTTGAGAGAATGCTAAAAGAGTTATTTTAATTCAATATCGGACCTAATAGTCAGAACAGAAATCAAAGTTACTTCTTCAGTTAGATTTCAGCTTTAGGAAAATTCTGGAATCTGATTTTCATGTTTCTCTTGATCCAATTATTAAAGTTCTCTAGAATGAGAGCCAATTATGACATATGAGACAATTAAACTTCTCTGGTTAAATTTCAGCTCTAAACAATATGAACTTTAAAACTCTTTGGTCCAACTGCAATCCTAGGATAGTCTGGAAACGGAGTTCTGTTCGTCAAGTTCAACTCTGGTCCTATTAGTAGACTAAGAAATTAGGATTTTTAGGCTTCTCTAGTTGAATTTCAGCTTTACGAGTGTCAAAAACGATCTTTATAGAGCGCTTTGGCATAATTGGGAATCAAGATTAGTCAGAAATCAGAGTTTTATACTTGTTTAGTTCAAGTTTGGTTCTAGTAGAGCAGGAAATTGGAGTTTTGTGATTCTTTAGTTGAATTTCAACATTACAAATTCCAGACGTTATCTATGTAAAATCCCCTGGAGTAAGTTGAACTCTAGACAGATGACAGATGAGAAATCAACTTTTTATACCTAGTCGGTTTGATATTGGCTGTAAGCCGAGAATAGCTTATTTGAGAGCTTGAGAAAGGTAAAAAATCAGAGTTTGATATTTCAACAAATGAATGATCCTTTCATAATCATAAGATTAGTATGTCCTCGTTCCATTCTAGAATCACTAGAGTTTTAAAAGCAAATTTTAATCTGAGTTAAGTTATTATGACTGGTCCAAAGACTATAAGGTCAGTATATCTGTTTAGGCGACACTTGTTTGACTTTACAATTTACTGACGGTGCAGTTCTTATGAAGACTTTGTTCAAGATATCAGAAAAGACTATACATTTTCTTCACACCAGCTGGCGGTTTATTTGATGTCTTAAAACACGCTTCTAACACAACATACAACGAGAACTCGAAGAGTGTTGTTAGCCTTTATAATTAATTAAACCACGACTGGCTGAGTCTGGCTGTTATTGTTGTTTTTACGTAATACGGTATTTGTTTTTAAATTAGACGTTTATTGCATAGGCACGCATCTGAGCTTGATGGCCGTTTACTTCACTATATCGTGTTACCGCTATATGTAACAACTGACTGATTTTATATTGCAGAATTTTCAGATAAAAGGTATGAATGAAATTTCAATGAAAAGGGCCAATTACAATTACCTTAAAATGT